CGAAGATGGTCGTCAGGCCGGTGGCCGCTGTCACAGAGAGCAAGGAAATGACCTTATCGACTGGGACAGTTTTGCGCTCGCCTCGTCAAATCACCACCACGACTACCAGGAGCACGCAGAGCAAAGTGATGAGCAGCATTACAATTTCTCCTGTTACGTCCTCCTCTTCCAGATCGACACAAGGCATGGTGAGTTTTCCTTCATCCAGCTTTGGATAATTCCTGTTTTCCTTAAGTTGGATCATCTCTTTTCCTTACCTTCTTCATTTTCTTTTACATTTTTGGATCAAAGAGTTGATAGGAACACTCAAGCTGATAGCGTTTTCCTAAGTTCACCATGAGCTTCTTTTCACATCTCTGGAGATGGGAGATAATGCAGGACTGTGTGTGGTGTTTCCCGGGACCCCTTTTACTCTGTTCTTTGTGGATCCGATGGGTAGCGTGACAGAAACGGGGCCATGTGCAGGTCTGAGAGCAGCAGAGATAATGAGGTGGAATTGTGCCACCCTGCTTTAATCAGGCTGTAATTTATAGTTGTTACACTGTGTTTACTGTTTACATTCACAAACAGCCGTGGCTCGGGGCCCTCCGCGCTCCGGCTGACACAAAACAGCTTGGCACCGTCAGCAGCGTACTGAAACCTGGCCTGGACAAGCGCTCGCTCGCTCAGCGAAAAATAAATGTTTACATTTCTCATTTGTGCTGCTCTTTTAGCACATAAGATCAGTTACATTGCACTAATTTACAATTCCTGTTTCCTGCATGATTTTTACCATGAATCCATAACTTAGTGTCGGTGTGGCTCAACTGTTTTCATTCTCCTGCCTGAGAAACTGTACTCTCTCTCTATTGTCAAACAGACCGGGCACGATGCCCAGCCGCCGCGCTCAGGGCTGACCCGCATCCCAATGTCCAAGAGCCTGAAGACGGGAAAGGCTGCGCTGGGATCCCTGGGGGTCTCTGGTGGAGTGAAACTGGAGTCGCGGGCTGAGAGTCAGTCTATGAGGATAGAAGTTAAGAAATCCAGCGTGAATAGCAGTAGTTTACAGAATGGAGGAAAAGCCTGAGAGACACAGTACCAAACGTATCTACATGGTGCTTCAGAGAGATTCATAGTAAAAGCTGTGGTGTTTGACTACAACTCAACTATAGTTTACAAGGCATTTCTTTATTATTATTATTATTAAGCAGGAGACTGATTTTATACTTTTTATAAGGTATTTTCTACTTCTTTACTTCTTATTTGCATTTCTGCCATTTAGACTGAAACATCCATGATTTGTTTTGTTGTTTTTTACCGTGTGTTGTGATGGGCATTTGGTTAAGACTCTGCTGCTATCAATGGCTTCTTTCTTGGGGTGGATATTTAATCTATAATGAGTTTATTTGTTTTATATTAGACACAAAAAGTACACAATTATGTGAAGATTTGGTGCATTTCTAAAGGATTTGTATTGAAAATATTGTAAATAAAAGTGATATTAGAGCAAAGTGTGGTGTGATCATTTATGCAGACACTTATGTTAACTCTGTGT